CACGCTTCGTGCTGCCATCACTCGAATCCTTGCTGGACTATTTGATCTCAAGACGCTCTCCGCACGTGTGTCCTCACAATTCAACAATCAAATCAAAGGCTGTGGCGATATCAAATTATTGCACTGTGCAATGAGCTTGCATTGTCGAGTGCAATCTGCGTCCGTCGTTTGATTGATCGAGTGAGGACGAGGAGAAATCCCGCTAAGTTTTTCACGCGCGCTCAATAACCCGTATTAATATGTACAAGAGTGGCATAATAATCATGCAGATTTATGTATGCAACCAGATCAACGCCCGGGGCGCACGAATGCTTTTGTGCCGGCCACTCTATAATTAATTGACTTTTTATATATGAAAGGGAGGATTGCGAGAGAAAAATTTCTCGATGGGCGAAATTGCGCTCTTGGCACATCCCATCGTCTCTTGAGGTGTAGAAATTCTTTCACTTGCGTATAAACTCTACATCAAAGAATTATTAAAATTTGCTTCCAAAAAATTCACTGAAATTGAGAAGATAAATACATAAATAAAATATCATACACGGAGAGACTCTGTGTCCGATCATACTTCAATTTTATACGATCTGATCGCCTAAAAACGACACAGTGAAAAAAATCGTACAGCGTTTACGATCTGGTGATCGGACAGAGCGTGCAAGCTGGATTGTATAGCGCGTTCGGCGTGCTCGCATAAGCTATACGAGCGAAAGCCTACTATTTTGTCTGATCAGAGATCGGACAAAACAGCGTAGCACTCAATCGGCTGCTCCTTACAATCTTTGATCGGACAAACTAGAGGATCTTTGGTTGTATAAGCTTTACAATTTAGATCTTCTGTTATTATTTTTATTTTTCATTTCATATTTATTTTTATTTTAGGAATTCAAGTGATAAACAAATACAAGTTCAAATAGAGTTTAATATTTTTTATTGAGGAGTACAAAGTACAGAATATAAAATTTATTTGTTATACATCGTCAAAAATCAAATTAACAAATAATGGCACAAAAGTTTGACAAGTTTATTCAGCTTGTCGTCATGCTCAAGAATTTTATCTAACGTATTATTAGTCTCTTTAACAATAAATTTTAAAAAATGCTACTCTGGCTAATTTTTTATGCTATTCAATTCTGGCATAATTCCTTTAAATTTAACAATTCATTTCAAGCTAAGTTTGCGGAATTAAAATTTCAAAGAGAGAAAATGGACTCATCACTCTTAAAAGGTTGATCCTCAGTTTTAGTATCCCGGTGGGGTGAAATTTTGATGTTGTCCATCCCGGCCGGATGCAGTTTGGTTCTTGTGGTTTGCGAATCAGTGAAAATTTCTGCAACATTTGAAATTGACAAATTAAATTGCTATAATGATCATTTTAGGCATTGCTGTACCAAAGCATTAATGAATTAATTTCCTAATAGAAATGCAAACAAGAAGACACCTCACCTTTTTTAAAGTTAGTTTTTTTGAGCATTCTTGTTCCAATTTTGAGCCGCTGCGTAGCACTGCATTCAGGGAGGACTCATAGCTTGGCAGCAGCTAAATTAACTCAAAAGAGATTTTTCTGAAAACACAGATGGAAATCGAATTTTAAATACAAGGCCTTTTAATTCAATGTGTTTTGATTTACCTTCAGTGCGTGGAATTTGAATTCGATCTCAGGGGCAGTTTTCTTTCTAAATTGTTTGAAATTTTATACAAACTTAGGAGCAATACATCCGCACAGGTCCAGGTCTTCTCTCCAACTGACGCCAAGCCAAAGTTTTGGAGGGAAGCTTCGGAAAAACGACCGTTGGCTATTTTTGAAAAGGAATTTCTCGAAAGTTGCTGATAAACAAGCGCGGTTCTCTTGGGCGCGTTCCGATCAGACCAGAAATTTTGTCTGATCGCTGATCGGACACTCCGTTCATTCACGCTGATCGTCTCATGTAGAAGAACTGGGTCGCATATTTTGTCCGATCAGTGATTGTAAGGACTATTCTTTACGATCTAGATCGGACATTTTATACAATCACTTTTAGGTGATCAAAAATCTCACTTTACTTCCGATCAGATCGGATACATTATACGATTGATCGGAAGGATTTGCTCCATACGATCACGCTCGGACATCCAGTCTCTCCGTGTATAAAAATTAATAAATTGTTGCTGTTTCAATTGTTGATTCTCTTTTTTTTTTAAATAAAATTCGATAATTTTTCTAATGGAATAAATTAAATCGAGATTGACTCTTTTATTGCAAGCGCTGAACATTTTTCAAGCGGCACCCAATATTTATTCATTTCTTTTTCTTTTCCAGTTAATAAATTTATAAAATATGTGGAGCCAAAAATAGATGTAGCTGCAGGAAGTTCAGCGCACTACTTTACCAGTTGGTTAAATATAATAATTACGGTCTCAGTTGCATTAGAGCAACGGTCCATAATTCCTGCAATTATTCCACATCCCACGCAAAACGTGATGCGTGAGTCCCAATCAACTGATTTTTTTTAAGTTTTTCATGATTGTATCATTTCTTTGCATGTTCTTATCCCCCTGAAATACAAGTTGGTTCGTCAAACAAAAATTTATCTTGAAAAAGGGAAATCTAAAATCAAATTACAAAAGATTTGCTTGAAATGAAATTTTTATTTTAAAATAATTTCCAATTTAAAACTCTAAAAAAATTGAAATACAAGATTTTCATTTAGCAACTAATTATTTTAATTAGTCATTTTGTGCCACTTTGTTGCACCATATGAAATGGTGCCAATTATAAAAGCAACGAAAAAGAACCCGGTGGCTCTGGTCGCGCGAAAGACCAGTCCTACGGGGACTGCCCTGTGCGTTTGGCTGCTTGTGTGCCGACGACCAAGTCTCTCAACAGTCGCGCATTATAGAGAGAGAGACCTCACATATAGACGGAGGCAATCAAATTTTTTACATTTCTCAAAAAAGACCACCTGCAAATTTACAAAGCTGTCGGAATAACTGCTCGTTTGCTGGCGAATAAATATGCTGGATGCACTGCCGTCCGTGTGTGTGTGTGATCTATGTTTTCCTTAACCAGACCTGCGGTATTTCAAAATGAAATTCTTTTGTCTCATAATTGCCCCGCGCGAGTTTTTTGCCGTTCCCGCGCGGCGGCCATTAAGAGAATGCAGTCATTTAACTCGTTATTATGATTATTGTCATCGACAGAAACACAGAGAAGACGTGCGCTCATTATGTAGTTTTAAACGTGCCATATACGTATGTTTGTTTTTGCCGAGATGATTTATCTTCCTCTCGCATAAACTTTGATTGATGCGTTGGAAAAAAAATAAGTTTTTCCATTTTTCTGTCAGAAAAATGTAAACGTGAAAAAGTTTATTTTGTTAAAAAATAGACTTCAGAAAAATTCCAGTTCTTTACTGTGGAAAATGGAAAAGTGTAAAACTAGCCAATGCTTAGGGGGGAAAGAGAAAAATAGGTAAAAACTTAAGAAAGCAGTGGAAGCAATTATTTTAATTTTCCATTTTTATCAATTTATATTTATTTAGTTGAGATAAAACTTTTTATAATAGGTAATAAAAGGCTACATTTACTTAAAACAAATATTTGTGTTGTAATTTTAATTTAAGAGAAAAATAATTTACTCTATGTAATAAATTAAGTGATTGTGTATAAAGAATTTAAGATTGGGATTAATTTTGAATTTCATATGTATAAATTTAAAAATTACGCTAAATAAACGGGGTGATTGTTTTTATTAATCCTCTTGAGAAATGATTTATATATTTATTTTTTTCCTTAAAAATACATGTCATTAGTCATTAATTAAAAAAAGTTATGTCTGAAGACGTTATATATAAAAAAAATGTGGCATTATTTCATTCAACCAAATTTTACTTATTGTAATATTTATAAGGGAGTCTCCAGTATTTACTCTATGGAAGCTGAGGATGATTTGAAGTAATAAACAGGGTTTCCAGGTTATATAGTGCTTGATTTATTTCTCAATTATATCTTATAATGGTTCACATGGATCATATTTCTTGCTCTCACTTATCGATACATGACACAAATGCACTAAATTTGCTAAAATTCAATAGACAAATTTGGGAGTCGAACGCTTGTCAAAAAGACCTCTGCTTAGTAGGAACCATTTTCTTAAAATCAATACACTGCTGCTCTCTCTCAAATAAAACATCTTCTTTTTCATCGAAATTGTCGTTAAACGCAAATATTAAAACAAATCAAACAAAACTACCTAAAAAGTACATAAAAAGTAGCTGCTATCATTACCAATTAAATCACAGATTTCAACAAAAATTAAATTTTGATCCCTCTAAAATCAAAGAGAAAATGATGCGCGATGATGGAATTTTTCGATATTCAATTGATTTTAAGATGGCACGCAAAAAAAATACAGTTTCAATAAATTAAGTACGAAAAACAAAAATACTGCTAGGACAGTGGCGCGAGAAAATAAATAAATTAAAAAAAATGGCAATTGCTTCATTCGAAAGTACATAAATATGAGATAATTACATTCTATACAGGATTATCTTAAGGTTAATGTGACCAAAAGTTATTTCTGTCTACAAGGTGCGAGTTATTATCCAAAACAGCAACAATTGGTTTCAATGCCCTAACAATTATTTAATGAACACTCATGAAATGTGATCTACCAACTAAAAACTTGTATTTAAAAATGCATCAAAGTTTAAACATTTTAAACTGGGGAATTGCCATTTACAGCCAAGACACGTGATCAACATTTCTATCATTTGGTGAATATTCTTTTTTTTAATTAGACACTGATTTGAGTCCTCTGCACTAGACGTCAATTAATTACCAACAACTACTATAGTATACACATAAGAAAGATCTCTACTGGCGTGTTTGCGTGTTATTTAATCAATATAATTCTATATATGTTCAGTTTGTTCACATGGAATTGTACAACTTTGGAAGCTACCTTATTACAACATGTACACAAATGGAATAAATTACTCTCGGGGGGGGGGGGGGGGGGGGGGTGATTTTTCACTCAATAAATTACTCTCAGCTCTCGATCACTGGCCGTCTCTTGTCAAAATCATCTTACATGATATTTACAAAGTTGGAAATACAACAGAAAAAAAGAGTTCAACAAAAATCGCAGTAGATGACTTGGAGCAAGGCTTCTTTGGAATGAAATTTTAATTTTATGTGTTTTTTCAAAGAGCTGCCGAATGAGTATATCTTTTTCAAATTGTTTTTTAATGTTGCTCTCAAAAGCCTGCCGTTTGAAGATTTTTCTTTTTCTTTTTTCACATCAAGTCTTTGGGTTGATCAGCAGCACAAAAGACTGTTCTTTCATGAAACCGCCTTGTTGATGAAGTACTCGAACACGTCGATCACGTACTCGAGTCCGTTCATGTAGTCGCGGAAAATGAACCAATCTCGCAGGTTGCGCACCGACGAATTGCCCTTGTTCATGTTGCGGAACTCGCGGCTCATGATGTCGCGAGTGATGTCGGGGTGCTGCTTCACGCCGCGCTCGATCATCGCCGCGTGAATCTCGCACAACACCTGCAACAAAATAAAGAAGAACCTGCGTTTAAAATTTGGTCGAAATTTGAGTTAAATTAAAATAAAATTCCTTGATTTGTAATTCATTCGGAGGTTTCATCATATTTTAAAAATGCGTAATTTTCCAGAGTCTCCTGACTTTGAAAACTTTACCAATTTATTTATAGTTTTAGAAACATTATAAAAATTTAGTAATTTGGAGCTTTTACAGGGAAAAATTAATAAAATAAAATCATATAAATTCTGGCAAGGAAATTTTGCAATAAAATAGTAAAAAATTACTCACCGATCTGAGACTGTACTCGGTAGCTTGGAAATCACCTTTGACATTGCTGCCATCTTCTTGGTCCCAAACTACTTGTTCGAGACCCACAGCAAATGTCTGCAGGAACTTGTAGGAATCCTGAAGAGCCTTTGGTAACTAAAACATCAAATTAAAAACAATTTGAACAATATGAAAAAAGAAACAATAATAATATAAAAGAATAAACTCTTGATTTAAATTAAAAAATGAATATTTTTTTTTTAATTAAACTCACCTCCAGGTGTTGTAAATGATCAACGGGCGTGGACTCGCCCAAGTTCTTTGGAATCTGCTCCAGCGACGGAAGCCAGCTGTAGTGCAAATCCTTCCACGTCTCGTGGTGCTGCACGAAATCAACGTTGAACGTGCTTTTCACCTGCAACACGCGAAACACACAATATAATAAATGCAGCAATAAAACAAACTTGAATGACCCGCAGGTTGATGAAAAAAATAAAACACCCACACAGTGGAAATTTCGTTAATGAAAGAGGAAAATCTGAATGAACGTTGTTATCTCACGCAGGGCGCAGTTATTTTTCATTAAACGGTTTTCAGGGATCGATACAAGGAAAGAAAACTTTCTAGAATGACATAGACCGGTGCATCAACAGGTGGCTCTCTGCAGATATCACTCTTTCTTGGAATCCGGAGGGTAACTTTTGGGTCACGCAACACCGCAAAAGATGACGGCCGAAGATAAATTTTGAAATTTATCCCGGCTGCCGTCTCGTAAACGCGGAGGGAGTTCATTCATGAAAGAAAAGGGCCCCTGTCACTCGCGAGTGACGCAACTCGCTACACAAGGAAGCTCAACGCTTTGCCTAACCCGCAGTCGATCGATCTCGGCGGCAAAAGGAAAGAAATAAAAAATAAAAGCAGAATCGGCGGCGGAGCAAAGGACGATTTTTTGATCGGAAGGAGGTCGTAAAAAAATTAGCGTGCCAATAGGGCAATTACACGTAGCGAGGAGAACAATTTTATTACTCGTAAGCGCACAATTCATTACCGCCGGGCATGAGATATAATTTTCGTACTCAAACACGTGGACGATTCTTTTTAAATAAATTCTATTTTGGCGTGTGCGAATAATAATAAAAATATATAATATTCGTATTTATTTTTCGCGAGATTCAGGAAATATTGAGTGTGTTTTTGCTCGCGGCCGACCGGCCTGCCTTGTGTGCGTTTTTCAGACGCCGCCGCGTATTTTGGTTATTGGCGTGCTCCTTTGAGTTGATAATTACTGCGAGTGTAAATTAGTTTGACGGTAGTAAAAATTCCTCGGTAATTTACAAGTCGCGCGGAGAGTCTTGTTTATTATAAGATTTAACTCTCGCTCAATAAAAAGTTGAGAGCCAACAAACAAATATCATTTTATAACTGTAAAATGCTAAAAAAAAACCACGAGACACTTCTCTTTAAAAAAGTAAAAATTAGCTCTGGTCAGCTCAATAAACATGGCAGATGTAGGCTTATTATGTAAATAAATTTTGTAACTAATAAAAATAACAGAAAATATTAATTTTCTAGAAAGTAATTTCCATGTTTAAATCAATAAAGCTGAAATATTATTAAATATCGTATTTTAAGCAATTAACAATATTTTTCACGCATTCTATCAGCTTTTATAAGATAAAAATGTCTACTTGTTTCCATAAAAATTTATAATTTTTATTAATAAGTGGTTGAGAGACGATAAATGGCATTTTTAAATTGTTAATAATTTAACATTGTAACATAGCGCAATTCTGCCTAATTGTGAGTATCATCGCATTGATTAATTATAGTAAATATGGAAGCAATCGTTTTAAAAAAAATTTACAATGAAATACCTTATAGATTAAAAGTTCAATATTTTAACATTATTCACTTGAGAGGCCAAATTGTATGCAATTGATATAAATAAAAAAAAACATATTTGAAAAAAAAATTAGAGTGCAGTTCTGAAAACTGCGAGATACTAATACTTAATTTGGAAATGAATTCAAAATTCCAAAATTTCATCTCACCAAAAAAAAAAAAAAAAAAAACAGATGAAAGCTGTCTTCAGAAATTAAATTTTCAGATTGAACTTGAAAGTAAATAAGGAAATAAATCTTAATCATTTTAATCCCATCAAAATCAAAGGCGATTTCAAATCTAAATAAAACAAGGCTGCTTAGCAAATGAATGATGGCGGGCAGCACGACAAATGGAGAGAGAAGGTCTTTCAAATTAGTCGGAAAGAACCAAAAACATTCGAGAAGAGAGGTTTACATGTATCGGCCGCCGCCGCAACCGCTTTGTTCCTCGCGGCACAGATCATAAAACCGCTCCGAGTGTGGTGGCCCCGCGCGACTTTTCTGTGTATGCGTTTCTCACTCGCGCGAGGGATCAATCGGACCTTAGGCACCTGGTCTATCTAGAATACAACTAACCCTTTACACACGTGTGCCGCGCGGCTTGTTAGCGAACAAAATTCAAACAAAATCAAAGCGGAACGATTTGTCATCATTCCTTGTAAGGGCCCCTGTGCGTATGCACAGTTTTTTGTGCACCAGAAGGATGCACAGGTGGAGACCAAGAGGCGGCGAGGAGATAAATCGGGTGTGAGAACGATGCGAGTAGAGAATAGGAGGGAATTCTCGGAAGCGGCTTTTATGTTAATTCGTAATTAATTGGCCCGGGCGATTGAAAATTTCGGTTCGAGTAGGAAAATCAGCTGGACGCTTCGACAATGTTAAAAATCGTTGGTCATGCATGATTGAATACTTGAGAGAAATTTTTTTATGTAACAATGCTGTGAAAATTCCTTTGAAGATTAAAATAATGAAGAATTATTGGAAAAGATGAACTCGGTTTTGACAAGAATAAAACCCCCTTAGTTTTTTTTTATTCTTTTTACCGTCAGCAACTATGGATACGTCGTTTATCATTTTCACAATTCGCGTCCCTAAAATAAATGTCACGTGCTAAAACAAATTATCTTCAGCTTAGTAAAATTCTGACAAGTCTTTCATTTTGAAAAATTGAATTAATATGGATGTGTGTACTTCAGGTTTTAGCTTCGCTATGATTAAAAATTATCTATCCTCAATTTATCAACTTATTTGTTGGCAGAATCAGAAAATTTTTAATTTCTAATTCATAATTATGTATCTTCACATAGATGCAGATTTATCCAGATATTAATACTTCTTGAAAAAGTTTCTACTGGGATTGCACTGGTGCAAAAATTTATCAATAGATAAATATTGACTTCAATAAATAGTTCTAGACGTTTATTATAAAATTGATTAGCAAAAGCTTCTAAATTTTAGTAAAAAATTTTAATAAGATTTGTATAATTTAAATTTTATAAAAATGAAAAAATAGATGGAAAATAAGTTAAAAATCTTAAAAAAATGTCTATTTAAATTAAACAATAACAGTTATTTTATTGTAAGCTGTTATAACAAAGCAAATCTAATCATCTTTGTCCTGCAAAATAAGAGACTTTGAAATAAATTAGAATTTCTCCATGTCGGTCTCCATAAAAAAATTACCTTAAATTGCAAACAAATCATTTTGCACTCAATAAAATTGGCAATTTCGTCGAGAGTGGCGAGCCGTGTGGCCTAAAAAGCGTCGATTAGCGTTGATTTTGGCGAGTGTGGTAATTAAAAATTAAGTCTGGTACTGCAGGAGTCGGTAGCGGCGACGGCGGCGGCGGCTTCAGTCGCGCTGTGTGGCACTCGCACCGGCTGATTAGCCGCAATAATTAGGGGGCTCGAGGTGGGTGCGCTGATTTTCATAAAAAAAGCGGCGGCCGTGAGAGGAAGAAGAAGAAGAAGAGGAAAAATGGCCGGGCGAGAGAGCGAGGGTCGGTGCCCGCGGCCAAATTAGAGGGTAAACGGGGCGCAATTAGGCAAAGGGATGCAGCTAGGGAGTGCCCTGCCCACCGCAAAAGTCAACAACATTCGGTGATTGAAGGACTTGTCACTTGCGTGTCAAGTGCCAAGGTAAATATAGACCGCGCTCCAAGACCGCCTGTCTATGCCTGTGTCATCTCATTATAGGCATACCAGAGAATTATAGTCTCTTTTCTGGATAATTACACAATTGAGCCGCGCAGCCGGCCAGGCTGCGCCGCTGCAGACCTGCGGGAAGGGGAAAAATAACTTTATCAGCAAATATGCTCTCTGCGCGAATTGGGCAATTAGGAAATGCTTGGAGAGTTTTCGTCTCTTGATTGCTCCGGCGGCGGAGAGCGGCCCCGCGAGATGCTTTGCCATCCATCATAATATTTAATGCCGACCGAGCAAAAGTCCCGTGCAAATTATTATGTATTCAACGTGGTGGTCCCCAGACGGTTCACGTAATTTGGGATTCGCTCCTTCTGCTTAAATGCAACTGTCACCGTGGATGACTGAAAAAGTGAAATCTGACGCCAAATTGTACAGTTTCAGGTACTTTGGAAAGTTTTAGAGACGATCCAGTAATTTTTGTGTGCATCAAATACACTTAAAAATTAAGCTAACTGGAAATAATAAAAATTGTAACAGTAATTTAAATTAATAGTAGTAAGGCACGATTTAATTATATATTTTTTTCTTCAAATTTTACGCATTTTATGCTTAATGTTCCAAAATATTAAATATTTTACTATTTTGGTGATTTTAAGCTACAAATTTAAGAAAACCTTAAAGAAAAATATTGTGAATTTAAAAAATCAAGATTTTCACTCATTGTCAGTGAAACGTAGACCATACAAAACATTACAAATTTGATATAAAATTTGAATCATCATTCTTAGTTAGTTTGATAATCTTTTTTATATTCGATATATGAAGTACTTGTTCAATGATTGCACTTTACAACTTGTAGGATATTATTTTAATAAACTCGATTTTAAACTAAACTTTAAACATTTTAATCTATCAAACTTCTCGTTTTTCTTTTTCCCAATCCGTTAGAAAAAGAGAATCAGTGAGTTGAAAACCGAATTTGATCGAACATGCCGCATTTAAAAACTCGCCCTACCACATTGTTGCATGTAAAATTAGTGTCAAGTCGCGTCTCCGGCAGCCCGAGCAACCAGACACGCAGCAGTCAAAAACAATTATTTCAGACCAGTATCGATTGCAGCAGAGTGACAAACGAGCTAGGCACAAAAAAGGAGCCGACCGGCCAAGCATCTCTCTCGCTCGCAATTAATACAAGAGCATATAATTACAATCGATTATCGCTGCAGACAAAACCGTAAGTGTGTCGTCCAACTTCCGGAAGAAGAAGAAGTAGAAAAACCGAGCGCGAGAGATGACAAACGAATTTATATATATTTTTCAGATCCTTTTGTTTTTCAGCCGCGAGAAAGAGACACACAAACGCGCACATATTTTACTGCGTGCTGGA